CATGACCGAAATTCTCAAGAAATCAAGTCCAGCGCACAGAATATCCTTGAGCCGATGCTGCTAAGGCTGCGGCTACATGATGGCAACATGCACCGGTGTAGTTTGAGAAGATCGGAGATGGGTTCAAAGAAAAACCAACGAGAAAAAGTCTCAAGATTGGTTACAATCGTTGCAAGGGTCCGTGGGTGCGTGGGACCTTGTGCCTTTAACCTAGAAACTTCCGGATCCTCCCATCTCAATGCTGTTACTAGTAGCGTTCTTGCTCCTAGTAGCGATGCCAGGAGCCCCTAGTAGCGTTCTTGCTCCTAGTAGTAAGGCCAGGAGCCCCTAGTAGCGTCCTTGCTGTTAATTGTATTACAAAATGACCAAAAAAGAACGAGCGAACGAAGCAAGCACTCATGCACTCATGCACTTACATATTTACAAGACTTTGCAAGTATGCACATCCCAAACTCCAAGCGCCGCTTGAATAATATCAATAGTAACGGAGCCTCTTTTCATCCCAAACCCACTGTCTTCCCCGTTTGGAGTCCTTAGCAGCTCCAGGTTCAACGACTTGTCCATAGGACCTGCAGCGTCTGGAAAAAACACAGCTCACACTCCACGGCTTTGAGCTCCACCACTCTGAGCCCGATCTCCGGCATCGCAGCCTGCGCTGAAGGTCCCGTTCGGTGCCACGGGGGACGAATCGGGGGACTCTTGGACTCGGGGAGGACCCCCAGGCCAAGACCATCCAAGCAGACTCGTGATGACTCGTGCTGCGGCTTTCCATCCCGCACCTGTCGCCCGCTTTGGCATCAAGACTGGCGGCGTTTTGCCACCGAGCCTCCAAACAACAAATTCCACCAATGCTGGCGGTGTTTTTCCAGTGGTGGAGCACGAAATCCATCCCACGGTTTCAATCAAACTCGCAAACTGACTCTTATCCCAAAGGGCCCCCAGCAACCGAAGGACCCGCAGGGCCCCCGTGCAAAGAGCTTCCCCTGGCCGAGGAGATCACGCTCTTTGGATGGCTAAGAAAAAACCTCTGTGGGCCATTTCGGGGTTAACAAGCCATTCCAAGCATCAAACGATTTCAAACACCTTAAAGCTTTTTAACACCCAACACCTAAGTGTCGGTACCCTACGGTACCTCCCCAGGACCGGGTTTGGGACCTAGAAGGAGCTTCGTTTGGCATAGAGAGTGGATGGGTAAACCCAACTCCAAAAGCCAAAGACGATGTTTGTTTAACCACTGATCAAGCATGGCTTGACTGTGGTCGTTTAAAAAAA